CAAGACCGCCCAACTCCGCAAGCCAATTACCAACCCAAACATTACCAGGAACGAGATGACGTTAAGCTCCTGTCTGAATTTTCCCATCAAGCCCACTGTATCTAAATTCCCACCCAAAATCCAATTTTTGTGATTTGTCGTACAGAAAAAGTGTCGCCTCGGTCGATAGAATGGAAGCTGGTATCGAGGCTACGGTTAATTGATCAAAATCCGAGGCAAAGCTGCAAAAATGACTTATGCATAGACTTAGCCCCAGGTGGTGCGCAGTAGAACGGAAGACATTTCGTTGCCACCTAAGCAGAAATGGGGGGTATAAAACGCCGAGTCGTCCACATGAATGAAAACGCATCACAAATGTGAAAGCATCATCATGTCTCGTCGATAAACATAACGACGGTCAAGTCTCAAGTCTCAAGTCTCAGGCCGTGAGACGTCGATGGAAAGTCGCAACGCAAAAAGGAAAAAAGAAAAGAACCCGAGAGAGAAGCAGTAAAGGTTTAGATCTGGCCCTTAATATCAACCTTTTGGAACGCCGTGCTGCGCGCGCCCTCAAAGAGGGAACCGGCTTTCCCGGTCATAAACGCAATGTAGTCTGTTCGGTCTTCCAACAAATGTCGACCTTGGTGATCGATGATGAACTGGGCTGCATCAGCATCAGACTCGAAACCGAGTTCCTCAGTGATGAAACGAAGTTTCACATCCGGCTTGTATCTGTACAATAGTCAGCAAATCATGCTCAAGAAAAACAACGAGGAATGGATGCAACCTACGCTTTGCAAATATTGCACAACGCAGCAAGCCGTTCTCGAGCAACAAACATGTCCATCAAGTATGCACCCATGTTAGGGGTGTCAAGGTAAAGCTGGAAGAACTTATGATAGTTGCCCAACGCCAATGATGATCGCACTTCTAAAGCATGCTTGATCGGCTTCTCCCCTTTCTCTGCTGTGGTTAGATCTGCCAAAGTATCGTTCAATCCAGTTCGGTTGGCCGTGTGGATGAAATAAAGAATGCGATATGCCTTGAATTCAATGGGGTTGCCTTTTAGGCCCATGCCATACAGCGACCGCAGTTGCGTCTGGCACTGATTATACTCACCAATATCCCCCTTCTCCAAGGCAATTCGGGCATGGATTTCATAGACGGAAACAGTAAAGTCGTTCTTGATATGTTGCACAGTCAGATCTTGCCTCATAGACTTGAACTGATCACAGATGTACGAATAGTTGCTTTCCCGCTTCCACTTCTTCTTCAGAAGTTCTAGAGTCTGACGCAAAATGTGTTCAGGTCGAACCTTGGACGGAACTGGAGGAGCGGTAAGACGAAGATACTTCTTCTCAAGTACCTCGCATGTGCCAATAATAGGTCCAGATGAAGGCGGAGGCGGACTGGGCGACCTGAGCGACTTGTATTCGTTCTCGAACCGTCGCTTGCGCTTGTTGGCTTCCTTCTGGAACTTACTTGATTTCGGCAGGGGCTCGTCCATGGAAGCACGCTTTTCGGGGGAAGGATAGGAAATACGGTCCTCAAGTGAAGAACGCGAGTTAGTACGCCACGGAGGCTGGGAGTTGTCATTACTGGCAAAATCGGTAGATTTCCTCTTCTTGGAGTTGATGGGAACATGGAAACTCTGCTTGATATCCGCATCACGTTCGGCTTTGACTAGGGCCTGTGGGAGGGGCATGTTGTCCCAATCGAGCGTGTATAACGTGCCGTTTTCCTTTGCGGTACCGATGGTGCTCTTAAGTTTAGCCTCGATTTCCGCGCGAGACACGGTGGGTTCGTCATTTTGGGGGAGGAAAGATCTTTGAACATAGCTCCGAACAGATTCGGGCCAGTCCACTTTGGACTTGGCTTGCTCAGGTGTCGGGGTTACACCATTCACGGGAGAAGCGGGAGACATTTGATGTTGCACTGGGGGCTGTGGAGGCACGTAGCCGGCATAAGGAGCAGCTGGCGCTGCGTACTGACTGAATCCTTGACGAACGGCTACGGGAATGAAGGCTGGATCTGCATTTCGTGTCAGGGCTGTCGGGCGAGAGAAGGAGATGTCGTCTGTGGGCAGTCCGGAAGACAACTTACTCGTTGGGTAGGCGTAAGATGTCGGGACGGTTTGCTGAGTTACGCTCGGCGCTTGCTGCGCTGGCCAGGTTGGCATCATGGCGTCGGAATGCTAGCGGTGCGAGTGGTTAGTTTCACAAACGGGTTGGGGAGAAAAAAGATGATGCCGGGCGGATAATGGCAGAAAGGCGAGATGATGATGAATGGTCCTTGGTTGGAGTGGGAGTGGACGTAGGTTTCTTTGGGAGGTATTTTCGTGGTCAGAGAGGGCAGCAGACTGGCGGTGGCGGTGTGGTCCCTGCTTATTCACGGAAAAACCGTGCTCCGGCGGAAGCGCTGCCTGAATCTCAGTGAGTGTTGGTACCAGTGTATGTATGTTTAGGTAGGTAGGATCCGCCGAGTGGAAGCTTATCGTCAACAGTGGGGCCGTCAACTGGGGGCCGATCAAGTCTCGCGTGCCTTGGAAGACTCACTTGATACTGAAGGACTTCACTGTAACCTCTGAATCTACTCGGAGTCGAAACAAAGACCGTGCTATACCGACTCTTGGTTGATGTTCTCTGATTGGAAGATTCGTCGAGCGTTTGTCTTCTAGCTTGCTTCTGTTTGCTGCAAGTCATCGTCCACTTGCATCATCGCTCATCCATTCATCAACAGCCACAACATTCACTTCTCTCTGCTTCAGTCTCACCCTCATGACGGATGTTTCTGAAACACATAGACCTTACTACAGCTCTACGGCCCTCGTATCTTCCAGATGAGGTGCTCCTATTTGTTCAGGACAACGTAGGCTTGTATGAGGGGTAGGTTGTTCTTGGCCACTCAAGTTGAGGCTCTGATATTAACACGACGATAGTAAATTTAAGCTGCCCAATCAACAAAATGGGCAGGTTTACTTAACTTCACATCGAGTCTGCTATGTGGATAAGCAGGAGCCTCGTACACACTCTGTTGCTCTGGATCTGAAAGATGTTGAACGTTACGAATTCTATGCTGGCTTTCTGAAGTCATCGGCCAAGGTGACTCTGATACCAAAGCCTCCAAAGCGATCATCGTATCACAGTCGTGCTCTGTCGAACGCCTCAAGCTCACAAAGAAATCTATCTGGATCACCAGGAATTTCTGAGTCTGCTTATAGAGCACCCCCTGAGCCTCCAGCCGTGACAAGCGCAACATGGGTCTGCACTATATGCAGTTTCTCAAATCCGGTCCCCTCGAACTTTGACCCTACTTCGGCAAACGCCCATACGCCTCTACCGCCATGTTTAGCATGCGGTATTAAGCCGACCTTATCACATGTTCTCAAAGCTGCAATCTCTGGTGCGAGCAATCGCTCAGTAGCCTCGCCAGCTCTGAATGCACCTCTCCCATTACGGCCAGCCCACTCTGGCACTCGACCTCTATCTGAGAATCTCGACCAAAATTCAGCCTCAAGCTTACTCGATGCTACCGACGGTTCAAATTCAACTGCATCTTTCCAATGTCCTCGCTGTACCTTCTCAAATCATCCTTCTTTGATGACTTGCGAGATGTGCGGTGGGCCCTTGATTTCACAGAATGTCCCATCATCTATCCACCAAAGCTCCACAGCCGAGACCATAAGGACTGACTCTCCAGGTCCTGTACTGGACCCTTCTAAAATCAATAAGAATGGAAGTGATGCTCCTGAGAGTGTCAAAATTTCTTTCCGAAGAGGTGGCGAGAAGATATTTTATGAGCGACTCAAGGGCTCTATGACACAACGCAAATGGCTGCTCAGAGATGCGCCTCCTGTTCCAAATAGCCGAGCTGCGGATGACGGATCTAAAGACACACCGACCGGCACTCCTGGAGGGCGGCAGAAGGGGGTTGGTATTGCAGGTCTGGAGCAACTTGGCTTGAACATGCGCAAGAACAATGAATTGCTAATAGGCAGTGCTTTCGAGGATCTGGAGGCTCTTATGTCATCTGCTAAAGAGGTCATCGCACTTGCAGAGCGATTCGCACGGCAAACAAATAACGGGCAAGGAAACGCATCTGCTGAAGAGAATGCCATTTTGGCGGAATCGGCGAGCCAACTTGGCCTGGTCACGACAAAGGATATTGTTGGTGGCGGGAGTTCCGAATCACTGTATCTGTCAGAGCTCGCCAGGAACTTGGCTGAGTTTCTCACCGATGACTCGAGAGGAGTCCTCAAGAAAGCAGGTGGTATCATAACGCTCGTCGATCTCTGGGCTATGTTCAACAGGGCCCGAGGCGGTGTCGAACTCGTCAGTCCAGCAGACTTCGAGAAGGCTGCCAGGCTCTGGAGCAAGCTTAAACTGCCCGTTCGTCTGCGCACCTTCCGCAGTGGTGTCATGGTTGTCCAGGCTCGTGATCGTACCGACGGCACCACAGTCAGGGCCATACTTGCGTGGCTCCGCGATCTTCACGAGTTTCCCCCTGAGCGCGAAGTGCCTTGGGACTGGCAAGAGTTTGGCAGGGGAGTTACAGCCCAAGAAGCTGCAGAACGCTTTGGCTGGAGTCTTGGTGTTGCAGAGGAAGAGTTGCTGATGGCGGAAGAGCGAGGAGAGTTGTGCCGTGAGGAAGGATTGGAGGGTCTCAAGTTCTGGGTGAACTATATCGATCCGGGTGAGCACAAGAAGCACAAGTCTCAAGCTCAGAAGGATAGTGATGAGGTTATGAAGGCATTGAAAGCAAGCGGACTGTTATAAACGAGGCAACGACCATGTTGGACGATATAGCATAGACATATGTGAGCCATTCACAGAAAATCAAAGAAACAAGACCAAATTGCAGGGAGTCATGTAGCATTGCTTCCTATAAAGAGAACTGAGGTGCGTTTTCACAAACATTTATAACCCGAACTCCACATTATTCGTCTACCGAAACTCCAAAAACCAAGTCGTCAACCAGAACTCCCTCACAAGCCTGGCGGTTCTAGATACTCCAACAAACTCTCAAACAACAACGTGAGTAGAAAGATGCTCCACAGCCTCTTTGATGGATCGCAGCATTCGTTGATTAACACAGAATGGGCATCGCACCGGCCGATCATCTTGGGTTATAGGCTGTTCCGAAGTAATAGGGGTGAGGTTGAGGTTAGTAGCCATCTCGTGCGCTGGTGTGGTCGTGTAGCGCTGGACGGAAGTGGCACGCACGGTCGGCGTGGTCAGAATGCTATTAGGCTGAAGTCCTGCTCTTTCAGCGCGTTCACGCTCTTCTCGTACAGCCGCCGCCTGTTCTTCTGCTGCTTGTTCTTCTTGCTGAAGCTGGCGCAAAGCATTCTGTAAGACAACTTCAGGATCATCATCGGCGTAGATGGGCTGGTCAGGCTGAGGAGGCGGGATTGAAGGGGGATCATGCGTCATCATGAGAGGTGGTGGAGGCACTTGTTGAGGAGGGCCTGTCATTCTACGGACCACTTCATCCCGCACCAAGGCACATGTGTTGAGGGTGGGTTCGATACCAACAGCGCGAATGATTTCTTCTTTGATCGCAGCTGGACTTGTGTCAGGGGCGACGCTCATGTAACGAGGGACACAATCTGCCAGGTATCCTATATCTTCGGCAGCATTGATTCCTCCATCCCCATGACGCCGTTGTCGTCTGATCAAAAGTCCATAGCGCTTCTTGAATCGATGAATCCAACCTGGAGAAAATTCAGGGGGGTTTTCATCCTTATATCGCGGCAACTGTCCGAATATTGATTTTGCTTTGTCGCCAAGTTCTTCATTGGTCGGTTGGCGACCAGATGCTTGGACCTGTTGATACCATATAAGGACGAGCTTCTCTACATCAGGCCAGTTTCCGTAGCGCAGACGGGAACCTGAAAGTTGAGGATTGTCACTATCTAGACGCGAGTACTTGGGTGACAGCGAGTGTGACACGGTGGATTGGCTTATTTGCTGGCCATACTGAGAAAAGAACCATTCGATACAAGCCTTGTGCGAGGGACGGATAGGCTGGCTATTCGCCCAGCGACGCAGAGCACGGCGTTGGTCGAGTGTTAGGGAATGTCTCTCCTTTGGCGATGCACTGACGTGATCGCCGACATGGTCAACGGAGGTGACATCGTGGCCTACCTGAGCGACGGCATCAACAGGAGAGAGGTCCGGGGCGGGAGCGGCGACAAGGGCCGGGTCGGTGGTAGCAGCCGACATGCCCAGGACGGCTATCTCCTTAAGGTGTGGGTTCTCGATTTTGGGGGTATTGAATTGGAGATGGTGAGGCTATCGTTGTAACCGAAGGACGTGCGCTTGGGGGAGGTGGGATGTTTCGATTAAGGAGATAGTTGAAGGCAGTTTGGCGAGAGAATGTCGATGGCGGGGGAGGAGTAAGCTTTGAATGGACGTCACGTGACGCAATTGTCAATGAATAAGAGGGAGGTGCGTCAAACGGAGGATTAGGTAATCGTATTGCAGAACAAAAATAATTATGATCACGACATTTATTGAGATTAGAATACCCTTGAAATAGAGCCATGACCTTGATTTTCGTCTTGTTATCAACTTCACCTGTGCTCTTGTATCCTTGTCTCAATGATATTCATGATAGTGAATGCTCTTTGATGGCCTCGATATACGCCTCCTCGATAACGTACTAGACTGAATCGCTAGTCCTGATTGTTTCAGCAACTTTGATAGAAGCATGGATGTCCACAAGGGTCATGGCCATATAAGCATGCCAGGATAATTGGACATGGGGTTTCCTCCGTTTCGGCACAAATTTCCATGTTACCTAATTAGAAAAACGCATGCATGTCATGATCAGTCCTCGTAAGAGGATAAAGCCCTCGCGACGACGAGTCGCCAAGGCGTATGGTTACAGTCATATCCAAACTCTCGCGAGCTGTCACTAGAGATTTATGCCAAGTTGAGCATAAATCAGGAGCTCATGTGTCAGTTGGATAACTCGGCCAACCGTTGAGAGTGGGTAGAAACGGGATGGACAGGAATACAACCTCCGGGCCGGCCTGGCACTGACTCTTTGTTAGGCAATGCAACGGATAACGGATGATCAGGCTGAAGAAAAACAGAGATGCTGCTCTAATAGTTTCCTCGTTCGCCTACTCCTTACAAGCATTAACCTCAAACTATCATAAAGACTCGTTTAAGCTATCCCCAGAAGAACTCGTCAGACTCTGATAAAGCAAACTAGAGACTCGATTACATGACTAGCGGCTCTCGATATGTCCGTCAACTTCCTGATCAGGTATACCCGCTTGAGCATGAACCATGTCGCCACTTGGCTGGGAGTTCGAGAACTTTGAACATGTGCGCACTAGTTTCGTCTGCATGGCGATCTGCCGATACACTAATAAGTCGATATGTACCTGACTGGCTGACTGTGTGATATTTCTGTTCCTCTCCAGCCGTTTCAGTCCCCTTTCTTGCTTTTTAATATGCCAGACGTTGATTGAGATAACGACTTATATGTACTGTAGGTAGTCGTCAATACGCAAACATTGCCACCGCTACTCGCTATACATCATTCCCTACCCTTGTCGTCGACTTGTTCCAGAACAACCAGAAGAATCACCCATCCACCATGGCCAGCACATTGGGAGACCACGATGGCTCCATGCCACATTATAGAGTTCCAGGAACCGCTAGGTCCTCAACGGCTGCTTCGACGACATCTTCCTCCACAAGAATTGCCCTCTTCAACTCCCTCACTCCATCCAGTACAGCCCTGGTCAGCGAGTGTGTGGACACACCATATCGCCCAATACCAAAAACCTTGAAGATATCTTGGCAATGGAACAAACTACGAACTTTCTTTCTCGGCAATGATGGCTGCTCAAAGATGTTTGCTGTATCCGAACACTCTGGACTTTTTGGCCGAAACTCAGGTTCGCCTTGTCTTCTCCTCCATAACGGACCAACCGGAAAGGACGAAATACTAGCAGCAGCTGGCGAGACGCTGCGGGACGGGTTATCTGACCCAGGTGTTGTAGAGAGTATTGTCAACGTATCCGCAGCCCCTGGGTCAGACATCGATACAAGGGTTGCCACTGAGATCGTACAGGCACTATACGATGAAACCGAGCAGTGCGTGGTATTCCGATGGGCAGTAGAAACAAAGCAAGCAGAGACAGTCCAAGACTGCAGCTTTATTCGCGAAGAATTCGAGTGGTCCATGACACCGCTCCAAGCGGCCAAGGATCCTAAATATTGCCACGAATTCAAGCTCTATCGAACTGGGGATATGAAGGCGCCATTGGAATACCTCGCCATGGCCTCCTGGAAGGAGGCAGCATGGAAGACATGCAAGATTGAGTTCTCTGATAAAGCAATGCAGCAGAACCTTGGAGATCGGTGGTCTCTAATGGTGGTGATGTCCGCCTTGAGGATGTGGCAGCTCGGCCGAACAGGACAAGCATCTTTGGAGTATGTATCGAACTGATCAGACACTGCTCATTTTACTTTGTATTTTAGCGTTGTTGTATTTACCAAAGTAGAACCGCACATACGTGTGCAATAGAGATTATAGATTTAAATGATAGCCGCATGCACTGTAAGACTGTGGACACGGCGATAAGATTGTCTTCGATTTACGCTTTCTTACATGCATCCTTGCTTCGAGAACATTGCCCCTTATGGAAAGGGTGAACGAAAAGAAAGAAGCTCACTTCATCAATCTACAGCGAATTGGATATTCTTGCAACAGAAAAGGGAGTTTGCCTTCTTTTTCAAGTCTAAGCCCATATATGATTTGTAGGAGAGAATCAGCTATATATCTGCATACGGGTCCAGTAACATTCATGTAGCGATGCTGAAGTCTCAACAGATCCAGTTGATCAGTGTCGATCGATGAGGCACATATTGAACTGCGAAGCACGGCCATGACAGAAGATAGGGTGCTCAGTTAAACTCAGCCCCATTTCCTAAGAGACTCGGTTCAATGTGATCTAGACCCCTCGAATCGGTATTCCATGAATCCTCAAATTCCCTGTGCCAGATGGGGATACCAGTGACAGGTGGGATTAAAGTCTCCAAGTGACGGGACCGCATTCGCTGTGAATCGTCGTGGGAAACATGACCGTTAGCATTCCTTCATATCATGACCACTAAGAAGCTCCAGGAAACTTTAGTCCACAGAAATCCAAGGGCATTTTCTGGATCAGAGTTCTTTATCATGCAGTCGGCTTCGCATCAATCACAGTCGCACTTTAAGCCGGTAAGGTATCCTCGAATGCATCACATGGGTAATAGTACTTCGTTATGCCACAATTGGCGAAACCGGCTTTTGTTGGTATCTGAGTTCGGCTGTCCGGCTCGATGGACAGCTCATGTCTGCATGACTTATAGACGTACACCGCATCCAAACAACCATACAACCATCGTCCTCGATTCAAACGTCTAGTTCTTCTTGTCCTGCTGATCAAGGAAGTTCCTGATACCGGATTAGTCCATGAAAGCTCAGCATCTTCAGGTGAATTCGCGCACTTGATGAAGTCAGCCTCGTCGGAGCTGGAGGCGTTGATGGGAGGAGTAGCGGTAGCAGTGGGCTTGGAAGAGCCGCCAGAGAGGGCCAGCTTGGTACCGACGACGAGAGTTCCCAACCAGGCGATGGCGAGCTGTCATTCATGTTAGTTTTATAGAGGTCTCTGGTCTGCGGCGACCGCAATTGAGGTTAAACGAACGTGGTGACCGGCGACCTGCTTGCCAGCAATGGTGTAATAAGCGATACCAGCCATTGTGAATAATCAGACAAGACCGAAAAGGACGAATTGGGTGATGGCGAAGGGCAATGGGTGGATGTTCGAATGTCGCGGTTGAGATGGTTTGCCGAGCTCTCAAATTCAACTTAGAGCTTGTGCCTGGAATTACAGGCCCAAAGTGGATGAACTGCCCCAGAGTGTGCGGTTATTCTCCGGATCATATCGCTGATCGGGATCAATCGGATCTACGGAAGCAACGTCACTGACCCAGGGTTGTCAACTGTCTTGCAGCAGCCTGCAGCCATGGATCCCAGTGGGTAAAGGTACGTAGGGTAGCGGCGGGCCATCAAAACCTATGGAAGCTTCTACTGCTCTGAAAGCTTGCTGTCGCATCTTTCTTTTCTCCAAACAACCTCAATACTAGGTAATTGGTCTTTGATTCTTTGTTCAATCTTTGAAATGTCTTGGTGGGGTAAATCAAAAGACCCCAAGCCGGAGGAGAAGAAGAGCGAAGCAACTCAAGTCAAGGACACTATCGTTGAGAAACTTCCCTCAAAGGACCAGCTGCCAGAGAGTGTTCAGAAAGCTGTCAACAAGACAGGAAGAGACGGAAATGTCTTTGACGACATAACCGATGGCTAGTATGTGTGTCTTTGTGACTGTGTAACGCCAGCTAACCGAATATAGTGGCCCCGACTCAACCGACACCAATTTCCGATATGCTGCCTATGCTACGCGAATTAGAACAATTCTTTTATCTGCGCATCGATATGTCGCCTACACTTCGGACATTGGAGAGTCATTCCGTCCCGTAGCTCACCCGAATCTCGTTCGCGCTGCCTACGGTGTATCTTGGCTGTATCTTATCGGTGATGTCTCGTATGAAGGTTACAAGTCATATTGGCACAATCAGCGCGTGTTGAACCCCAAGGTGCAACTCTCTCCTCGACAAGAGAAGGTTACTGGCCTTCCTGCCACCGAGACACGCCTAATCGAGCCGGGTACGGTGCCGCCGCTCGAAGACTATCGCACTGTCATGGTCCAGCGCGCAATCTTCCAGAGTGTTGCCAGTATGGGACTGCCTGCTTTCACTATTCATAGTGTTGTGAGGTATTCTGGCCGCGCCATGAAGAATATGAAGAACCAGGCCATCAGGACTTGGGCTCCAATTGGTCTGGGCCTCGCAGTGGTTCCATTCCTCCCAGCTATGTTCGACGAGCCTGTCGAGAACGCTGTTGAATGGGCGTTCCACAAAGGATTCGAGACATTTGGAGGCAAGGCCGCAGTGGGCAATGCGCCTACGACGGGTCGCGAGGATTTGCTGGCCAAGAGGCCAAAGGAGAAGGAACTGTAATACAAGGCTTCGCACCGCAAACTTGGCGTTCTGGGAGGTGGAAGGCGCTCAACTCATGCTTTAATGTTCGATCAATATATAGGAATATTGTATGCGACGCAGAGTCAGTCACTGGCTTATACCAATCCAATCATGCAACAATCAACTCCATGGTGGGGAGCAGACCCCACGATCAGCCTGGTCCCTGGAAGTGGCTGTGCGCCAACGGAGCTTATAAGTTTATTAACAAGCCTGTCATTCTTACTCGTGATTTATGTACACGATTCACAAAAGCCCGACGAGTCCTTAGCTTGTTCTTCGCTCTGCAATCACGCCTCATTTTCTTCTGCCTTTTGACGTGTTAAAGCTTGTGGCACACTCGTTCGTAATCTGCCAAGCTTGGTCATACACGGACCCTTCCAGACGCTTCCTCGCCGCCGCCTTTTGTATCTGTCATCTTCATACGAGCACTTGCGACAACACCTCTGCCTACGGGTAACACCGCCCTCCCAACATTTTTAAATACGAAACTTGTTCACCATGGCGTCATCAAGCACACCAGAAGCTCAAGATACCAGCTACGTCGAAATGCACGACAAAAACGAAGCCGCGCTGATCGGCAAGCACTGCGAATATGACTACTGCAACCAACTCGACTTTCTCCCTTTCTTCTGTCAGTCATGCCGAAAGACATTTTGTCTCGATCACCGAAGCGAAGGGGCACATAAATGTACAAATCCTGGTGCGTGGGCGGAGCGAAAGCGCCAGAGGGAGCTTGCGCAGCCAAGCATTGGACAAGGAAAGATTCTAAGGGACAAGGTGTCCCAAAAGCCTTGCGCATCACCCGAATGCAAGACCACGATCGGTACATCTTTGACGCCTGGTGTACACTGCCAAACGTGTAACCGAGATTACTGCCTGAAGCATCGTCTAAAGGAGGACCACAATTGCAGTAATCTGATACCCATCGGGGCTCGGCCTATGCAATTCGATGTTGGTCAGAAGACAAAGACGGCATTCGACAAACTGCGGGCATGGGGTACAGCAAAGAAAGAGCAAGCCGGCAGAGCTTTGCCGAAACCAAAGCCAAGCTCTGCCTCAGCACGTATTATTGCTGTAAACAACTTGAAGAAGACAGCCAAGGGCGACGACAAGACACCTGTTGAGAAGAGAGTGTATATCTATGTGGAAGCCGAGGCAGAAACAGCAAAAGCCAAGTTTCCTAAGGGGGAGTTCTTCTACAACAAAGATTGGGTTGTAGGCCGAGTTCTGGATGCTGCAGCAAGGAGCTTGCAGGTACAAAACATCAACAACCAAAGCTCAGATGAGAAGGACAAGCTTCGCGTCTTCCACGTTGAGGGAGGTAGAATTTTGGAGTATAACGAAAAGGTTGGAACGGCGTTGCAGAGTGGAAATACTGTTGTTTTGTTGCGTGGCGTTGGGCCAGCTACCCCAGACCTGATTGAGGCGTGAGCGTTGTGTTTTACGGATTGACTACCTACCTATAGAGGTGCATGGCCTGGCGTTGGGCAGTTTGATACCAAGAGGAATGATATCAACATTTTGGTTTCCTGAAACAATCGTATCCTGGCATGTCTGTGGTTTCCATTGGTTTATCTGAGTTCCAATATGAAAACACTGTATTACCTATGGAACGTATTCTCAAGATGATTTATAAGTCTTCTACCAATATTCTCAAGGCAAAACACCGCAGGTATGATTTGGTGAATATGTAATCTCAATTATATTACTTAGATTTTTGAACAAATTAACATTCTGCTTACTGAGACTCTTTTGATTTCAAGCCCAAGTTCATGTTGCTAACTCTTGAAACGAACCACGTGATTGCGCGTCTGCCTCCCGTGCTCCCGTCTTCTATGACGAAGTACCCACCACGCTCTACCTTAGTCTAAGCCGTTCATCAAGCTTTAATTCATCCTACTTCGCAGAATGCGACAATCTTATTTACGAGACCAATATGCCTCCTTTAGTACCACGCAAACGCTTGCGTGAGTCGCCACCGCTTGGAGAAGGGGGATCATCAAAAGCAGTCAAAGAGAAGCCTGACTCATCACGGCGCAAAGCAACACTGTACGATGATCTGGACGCATCTGCAACACCCAACTCAAACTCGATTCTGCATGAATTTGGAGACGACGATGATGAAAGCTCATTGACATCGTTGTCAGAAGATGAATTTGAGGATGTTGTGCCGCCGAATCAATCGAAAGCCAATGACGCGGACTCTGAGGACGATGAAGATATTGAGTTTGAGGATGTCCAAGCACCAGTCGCACCACTACCGGACGCCCCGGTAACATCCGGGGACTTGGAATTGACACTCACCAGGGACACTAGAATCTCACTCACAAATGCATTTGATAGAAAAGGACCCTCAAAACGGGAGAG